TAGAGACGGGGTTTCACCATGTTGACCAGGATGGTCTCGATCTCTTGACCTCGTGATCCACCCGCCTCGGCCTCCCACAGTGCTGGGATTACAGGCTTGAGCCACCGCGCCCGGCCACCAATGTAATTCTTATCACCTTATCATGCCCTCCTCTGGATAACAAGTCAACGTCTCCTCCACCATCACAATCACCTCTTCACTGGTGACCGTAATTATTGTTACCATCATTCACTGATACTGCCATCACCCCAAAATGATTGTTTCTGTTACTCTAGCTTCAGTATCACCATGTCCTTCCCCATGACAATAGTTATCATCCTAACTCTCTTTATCCCCTTGGCAACAACCACTAACCATGGCAACACTGTGACCACTCATCACCCCATTCCTGCTATTACCGTAATTACTACAGTCTCTATAACTATGAATCTCACTACAACAACAACTTCCACCATCACCTAATAATGAAATTAGGCCCTGCAGCATCTCCACCACCGCAGCATTGTTAAGGACACCCCCAGGTCCCCTTTTCCTGTCTAGAAGTGTCTGAGTATACCCATCATTTCCATCTGGTCAAAATAAGCTCTTGTACCTTTTGCCCCACGGCACCGCCTCACTCAATCATTCTTGCCTCAGGCTCAAGTTTCCATTGCTTTGTTTGACCTTTTGGATTCAGGACTCCTTGCCTGTCCTAACCACAATCCATTGAAATCTGCTCTGTCTTTTTTACTTGCTTGGATGCTCTAGCTTTGGGGCTGTTGGTTGATAACTCACCTGTGGCCACTTAGCTGTGGGCATTCTGCCACCAGTTACAGAGGCCTGCCTGGCTGGGCCTGGGGAGCGTAGCCTTGCCTTGCCCTCTCAGGGGAACTAATACTCTGCCAACATCTTTTCTTGGATCTTTGCTGAACACAAACAGGCTGGGTTTGTCTAGTTGATCCCTGAAGGCAGGTTGGTCCCTGAAGCCCAAAGGAAGCAGGGAAAGTGTATTTCCTGCTAGGACTTACCAATGTAGAAAATCTGTCCTTGTTGGTATAGTGGTGAGTAAACAAAGAAAGAAGGCTGGGCATGGTGGCTCACACCTGTAATCTCAGCACTTTGGGAACCTGAGGCGGGTGGATCATGAGGTCAGGAGTTCGAGTCCAGCCTGGCCAACATAGTGAAACCCTGTCTCTACTAAAAATACAAAAATCAGCCAGGCATGGTGGTGTGTGCCTGCGGTCTCAGGTACTCAGGAGGTTGAGGCAGGAGAATTGCTTGAATCCAGGAGGCAGAGGTGGTGGTGAGCTGAGATCATGCCACTGCACTCTAGCCTGGGCAACAGAGTGAGACTCCACCAGAAAAGAAAAGAAGAAAGAGAGAAAGAAAGAGAAAGAAAGAAAAGAAGAAAGAAAGAAAGGAAGGAAGGAAGGAAGGTAGGAAGGAAGGAGAGAAGGAAGGAAGGAAGGAGAAAGAAAGAGAAGAAAGAGAAGAAAGAAAGAAAGAGAAAGAGAAAGACAGACAGGAGATAAGCTCTCTGCTCCCCTGCTGGCTTGTCCTGTGAGATCATCATAGTCTTGCTCTGGCTCATATATTTCCCAGAAAGGTTGTCCCCAGAAAGAATGGAGACATGTTGCCCTTTTATGGAAGGTGTGCCATAGAGAGAGACTTGGATATCCCATGTCTCTTTCATGGACAGTGAGATCTTGAGGTCTGAAGCATTTGTGGAGAGGGACCTCCTCCAGATTTACCAACGGTAGTGACCATGTCAGAGGCAGCAGGAGCTGTCACCTCTCCCGACCCCTGGACTCTGTCACTCTCTTGTCCTCTCAGGGATGCAGAGGCACCTAGGTTTTTTGCAAGTAGTCAACTCCTCCAGTTACACATGGTTTGAGTCCCTGCACGGGGATAGAAAGGACCCAGAGTGTGCATTTGGATTGAGTTCAGAGCCCAAAGTGCATCTCTTGATCTGATCATGGAATCCAAAAGGAATTGCTCTCCAATTCACAGCTCTGAATAAATTTTACCAGAGTGTTGGGGGGCGGAGGGGGGAAGTAGGAAGAAGGGAACTGGATTCTTGTTTGACGTTTTGAGACTAGATCCCTTCTTGATGCCTGACACAGGGCTCTGCCCAAGGCAGAGAGTGTCTACAGAAAAAATGGGGTTGGTGGCTCCCTGCATGTGGACAAGGCCACCTACATTTTGAGGACAGCCCAAATGCTCAGTAGTTACTCCCCACCTCACCTCCAATGCTGAGCAAACAGATGATGGAGTGACCCTGGGAGGTGGCCAGGTGGGAGGGAAACAAGCAGTTTCCCCTTGCCACCACCAGAAGACATTATGGCCATAGACATACCTGTTAATAAGCACAACCTCGCCGCACTTCCATCACAGAGAAAAGGGCTACAGTCCTCCCTTTCCCCCTCTTGCATTAATTCATTTTTTCCATGTTTTATTTAGTGACTACCATGTGGACCATGTGGACTTTGGTGACGCGAAGATGAATAGGACTCCTTTCTCAAGGAGCCTGCAGTCTGACCAAGTCATTACTGAGAAGAGAGGAAGGAAAAGATACCCTTGGCCTTTCCAACTTGTCAAGGGTCAACTGAATGCCTGAGCCGGTCCCCCTGAGAGGGCAGTAGGCGAGATTCCAGCAGGTAATGGATGAGCACAGCTACGCCCTGACAGGGACATTGCCTGCAATTGGTTCCAGTCATATATGGAACCAAACAGCTTTGAAAATTGTGGGGGGATGGTGACAGAAGAGAGCAGGCTCGCCCCCTCCCCCATCCCCTAGGAGCCTGTCCTGATCCTCCTTCTGGGAGATGAAAGGTGTGGTTTCCCAAAGCCAGGAGCAGAGCAAATATCTTCTGCCTCGGAGGGGCTGGTCTCTGTGCAGGCTGGGAACCCCCAGGGAAGCAGCACTGAGGGCCCTAGGAAAGAGGGCAGAGGCCAGAGGCCAGAGGCAGGGAAGTGCCTCCTCAGGAGGTCAGATTCCAGACCAAACAGCAAGCTTTTCAGACTCTAGAGAATGGGGGTAGAGGCAGGAAAGGAGGGTGAAAGGTTAGAGCCCCTATGGGTAGGGAAGGGGCCTCCGGGGTGTGACAGACACCCCCAGGACCCTGTGTCTGCCTAAGCCTTGGCTGGGAAAGCGGAGTCAGTGCAGCCACTGGGTGAGCGCAGTCCTTGGATTTTGCCCCAATAACTGAGTGCCATTAGCACAGTGTGAGCAGGAGCTCTGGCAGAGCACTTGGTCCTCCTCTCTCGTTTAGAGGGGGAAGCAGTTTACACAAGGACAGCCACCGTCTTGAGTCTCTTCTATCAACTGTCCTGTGGTCTCTCTGGCCATGCTGGGACAGAGCATCACTTCCACAAGAAACCCTCTGAATGCATTTCCTCAGCTAAGCAGGTTCCCAC